GGGGGGGGGGGGGGGGGTGGGGGAGAAAAATCATGGGGTGGGCCAGGCCTATATTTTAGAGAAAAGGGGTGAGCCAAAAGAGAATTCCACGATGATTGGGGGTGGGTCATTGTGTGTTTTGTAAAGAATCACACTCACTACAATTCATGTGGAAGATCTAAATAAATTCTAATGCAATGCTGGACATAAAATATAACACAACTGGATGTCACATGTAGCAATCCAACCTAAGTATGGAGAATCAAAGATGTGGGCACTAAATGTCAAAAAATAAAAATTAGCCCTATTGAGAAGGCTTGCATGCTTCCTTTGCTTAACATAATTGTCTGGGAACTTTTACTACCTGAAGTGTGAACAGCTAGAAATCATTAATGGTTTCAATAATGGATTATTGAATTTATTATTCAATTTAGTGAAATCAAATTTTTCCAATTTTTAAATCAAAAACAGTTTGAAAATTCGTTTTTTAATTGAATTACTATATTTTGTTTAATGACTTCTGTAAAAAAGCAAATTTTTTTAAACTGGTTTTGATTTGAATATTGCAAAACTTATTTTCCAATAATCAATTAATGAAATCAATAATGATGTCTAGGTTTTCACGCTTCAGGTAGTTTGACTGTAATATGGAGCTATTGAGCTCCTTTTTGTGACCATCTAAAAAGAAAGGATTTTCAACTGTCCAATACTCTTTTAATTGTATTATCAACAAGTTCAAACGCATCCATTGCAAATAGTCCTTGATTCCTCATAATGTGCAAATGTTCGACGGCACTTCTCTTCAACCTAGCAAGATTGTCTACCCTGAGTTCTTCCTCGCAAAGGGAATGTTGGCTTGTAGAACTGATGTTGTAACCTTCAGGGAAACAGAGATTTTCAAGGGTCCACAAGTCCAATTGGGGGTGGGTCACCTCTTATATGCAGTTATATGGGGGTGGGTCAAGAATTAACTAATGGGCAAAGGGGTGGGTCACGTTTTTTCTTTCATCCTAAAACAAAAAAAATCCCCCCCACCCCCCCACATAAAAAATGACCGGTCCCTAAACTCGACTTTACTATAGTAAGAAAAAGCCCAAGTGAGACCACAGCCAATGTTGGCTTAGGGGAGAGGTAGATGGGCAGTTTCCCAAAAGTCTAAATTGATCCAGTATTTCATCATCTGTTCTGTTCCTACTTTTAAAACACCCGCATTTTTTAAGATTTCCCACGAGATTTTTCCAAGAGATTTTCAAGATTTTCAATGTTATGTCCCCATACATGAAGTACCTACCCATCTTATGACCAGCCGCTGACCAAGAATTGAAGATATTCCAGTCTCTCTCCGCTGAAAACATCAACTTGAAAGTAAACTGGTAACTAATCAAAAGCACATGTAATATTCAAGATGGCGGCGCCGGAGTCGAGAGCCAGGAAAGTCTTTATTCATCCTGTGGTGCTTTTTTCTATCGTAGATGGCTATGAACGACGTTCAGAAGATGCCAAAAGAGTGATAGGAACTCTTCTTGGATCAGTGGATAAGACGTCGGTAGAAATTCGAAGTTCTTTCGGCGTCCCACACAATGAGTCGGAAGACGAGGTGATAAAAGTTTTTTTTCTTTTTTTGCTAAGCTGTTTAACAAGCTTCTTTTATAATTAGAGTCTCAGATTTGGTAAAATCCAGTGAAAACAAAGGTAATAAGCGCAACGTTTTTTACTGCAGGCACCATGCTTATAATCTAACGAAAAGACAACACACAAGTGTTAATTAGAAAACCAACGATTTGTTTCATGTAATTATTCAGGACGTAACTAATCGATGGAAATCGATCATCGAAAATGTAATTGATTAATCGATAATACACGATAGTACTCGATATTTGTCGATTGATTAGTCAATTTAATCGATTGAAATCGATAATCAAAAAATTTTTTGTCGCATCTATGGAAATCGAAAATCTAAAACGTGATCTGATCTTATCACAACACTGCGTAACACTTACCTTCAAGCTTGCCTTCGAATCCGCTTTGTTGATAAAGATGATGTTACTTCTTTCTCCAATGGTAGCTACTTTTCTTATTTATTTTTTGTACCAGGATCACTGCTGTAAATTTGTACTCTAGAATCGTCAGAATCGTGGTAAATAGCCGGAGTCACTTATGTAGAAATTGGCAAACTGTCGTCCGTTCTCCGAGAATTTAGAAGGGTATTGTTCGAGCGCTTATTGGGAGACACGCATGGTGGCTTATGGAGCGAGGAGAATCTTCGTCCATTTTCATTTCGACCATTGTCGAACAAATCGATAAAATCGATAGCTAATTACAGAAATCGATCAAAATCGAAAATCACAAAGACGCGAGTGATCGATTTCTATCGATTTCCGATATTAATCGATTGATTAGTATCGATTACGATCGATTACGTTCGATTTCTATCGAGTATCGAAAATATCGATTAGTTACGCCCTGAATTATTGTATGTACATGTGGTGTCTTATGGAATTGCTGTGCGTTGCTTTTATTTGTAGTTTCATGCATTACCAAAAATCCTTGGTCCTCTGAAAATTGAACTTCATTTGATGGCCAATAATAATTGACAAAGTTGCAATATTCACATTTTTGCAACCGGGTTTAAACACAAGGGTTATTTTGACACCCTGTTTTTAATTGACTCCCAATGTTTGTCAATAGACGTCACTGATAAGTTGTCACAGGGATATAAACTTCTTTATATCTGAAAACTGGAGGTAAATCAACCCACCCCACTCCCGATACTCACACATAGTTATCCCAATGCAAGATAGCTAACCTGAGCCGTTTGAACAGATGACAATTTTGTTAATGGATAGCTCAGACTGTGCAATTGGATACTCATTTTGTTCAAAATAGCTGATAAGCGGCTTAAGAATAGTTATCTGTTCAAAAATTGCAAACCATTAGGAATGTTTTCACATGAAAGATCACCATGAATTGTTATTATTTTTTATTATTATTGTTTTTGTTGTGGACATTGATGTTATGAAAGAGCCAGTTCTTACACTATTAAAAATCTTTGCTAACGCTAAACGATCTAAAGCATTTTCCATGCAGTTGTAAATGGTGAATTTTGGCAATTCTTTAAATTCGTTATTCATGTCTTAAGATGCTGAGGGCTGACTGGGAAGAGAAGCCCTGGTCAAAGGAAAAAGAGATTGGACCAAATGATTGCAATCTAATTTTGACAACTTTGTCCAGTTACTGCAACTGGCAGCTGGAACAGCTACAAGAGTAGGTGCACCACAAGAAACTGACTTTTAATTTTGCAAGCTGGTACACTGTACATGTTTGACCATCTGGCAAGCTAACAAGAGAATTTAGCTCATAGCAGCAGCCAGTGCTTACATCTGGGCTTATGGTTAACATAAAATGTAAAGAGGACACACTGTTGCCCTCTCACCCGCACAACATTACTTTAAGATGATAACTTGTTATTTCATGTTTTTGGTAAGCGTGAAAAAACAGCCAACATTTGGCGACACTACCACTGGTTTTCCCACCAAATAACATCTGACAAACAAGTGCAGAAATTCATACTGATGATGCATCACTACCCAGATCTGGGTAGTGCCTCTGGTTGGTTGAATCATGTGGCAAGATCAATCAGAAGCACTACCCAGATCTGGGTAGTCACTCGTCATCAGTATGGAATTTCTGCACTTGTTTCTCAGACGTCATTTGGCGGGGTTGGTTGAATCCACGTGGCGCAACCAATCAGAAGCACTACACAGATCTGGGTAGTGACGAGTCATCACTATGGAATTTTTGTGCTCATTTCTCAGACGTCATTTGGCGGGGAAACCAGTGGTAGCTTCGCCAAATGTCACCAGTTTTCTCAGGCTAGTTTTTGGTATTTCTGCAGTTCAATGTACAGTGTACCTCTTCGGTAAAAGAATTTTTTTGTCACCTTCTTTCAGGTTGCCATTGAATTAGAATATGCCAAGAGTATGTTTGATCTTCATAAGAAGTCGCATCCAAATGATGAAATAGTGGGCTGGTAAGGAACTGCTACTAGGCTTCTTGCAATAATTGATCATGTGATCAACTTTTTGTAAACACGAAAACAATTCTTTTGGTAAAATTAATCATTTTAGCAGGGACTGAAAGAACATTTAAAATTAGGTAACCTTAAAAAGTTTCAGCCATATATCTTAAAAGTAATGATGCAAAGGCCTCCGTAAGTTAAAAGGATTTCTGTGGGGAAAACAACTCTTGCCAGCCACTTACATGTATGGTTGAGTGGTTTTCCATACAAATCCTTGTGAATTTTTTTCCCTTATGCATTAGTTTTTAGGGCTAAAATTGTCTGTTATGAGCAAAAAAAAATTGAGCTTGATTATGCTAAAGGATAGATTTTACTGCAGTATTTAATTTTTCAAAATTTCATTTGTGATTTCTGATAATTGGCCTTAAATCGCAACTTTTTGCAAAGAAATCACATGATTTGTCTCATACAAGTAATTGAACTTTTCTTGATGCATAATATGCCTTGATAATGTGGCATACATGTACATGTAATTCCCCCTTTTTTCGTACCACACTAGAAGCTCTGACTTAATGGCAGTCTAACATACACTGTAAATTTTGGTTTTACATGTACCTGGTGTTATAGCTGTGTTCGACATAATGCAGATAGGAGTGAGTTGTTGCAGTGTATCAACAGTCTCTGATTGATTGAACAAATCTTAGGGCACATTTCTGGCATTGCCATTATTGAGTCAGGATTGAGATCTAGATCAGTTAAACGCCATCCAACTCTCTGGAAGTCTCTAGAGAGTCACTCAAGGGCAATATCAAGTTTCGCTCTTTTAAAGGATATTGAAAAGTCAACTTTCTAAGTAAATAGTTAAATTAGGCTTTGAATTTTATTACAAATAGGTTTTTCTGATTGTGTTATGATTTTGACATGGAAACGTCAGCTCTTCAAAGTAAATTTTTTTTAGGCCTTAAATTTTATTGTAAATACATCATGTAGTTTTATTTTCCAATACTCCACTTGTTCAAGTAGTAAAAATCTTATTGTGTGTGTGCCTGAGTCTGGAATTGATTGGTACTAGAAATGGGTAATATTTCAGTGTGATGATATGAGGTATATCACATTAGTTAAACTGCGGCTCATTTGCATGGCAATCGGTGAACTTGAATCTGATTAGAGGCACTCAGAAATTGAGCAAAGTAATATCAACAGGGGGCATGTCAAGTGGAACGACTCGTACAAGTCGTGCAACGGGTGAAATCTTGCATTTCATTAGTGACACTCAGAAATTGAGAGAGCGAGTCATACAACTGGTAAAATTATTGCGTGATCAAAAATGTGTACAAGTTGAAATTTTAGCACTGAATTTATACTAAGCTCAAAAGTGCACTGAAATCCAAAATAAGCTCATATAATAGTTATCTTGACTTTTAAGTACACTGATGACTGTATCTTTCAGTACTGTGGCAAATTATAAATATACATGTACATGTGTGAGGCAGTGAATTTTGGGTGTATCGTCTCAAGTGTCAGTTTGGTCGCATTGTCATGATTGTGATCATGTGTAACAAATTTAAAATTATTAAGAAGAGGTGTCATTATCGGGGAATCATTGCTTGCTTTCTTGGGTGTTCTTCCTGTACAACTGTACAAGCTACAAGTGTATCTAAATTAGTAGGAATCCCAGTTAGTTTGGCTGCACTACATTCCTTTTCAATGGCTCATTTTTGAGGTTACATATTTATAATTTTGTTAACTAGTTTTGTTAGCGCACAATTGCCATTTACATCATAAACTGGAAAACTAAAACATTATGTACAGTCAGAATGTGAAACAAGCCTTTTTAAAGTTGGTTGAGTTAGAGTTTATTTCGCAGTGTTAGTTACAGAATAATGAAAACCATAAGAATATCAGAAATATTTCTGGAACTGAAGTCTCAGGTAAAGGTAAACCATTTAGATTATGGTTCACGGGTCTTTTTGTAAGACAGATGTATACATAACTTATATTAGCAGCAGTGAAGACTGCTTTGAATTCAGATCTTGCAAGTGCACAATTAGATAGTCTTTTTTTTGCTTAGAGCTCACTTCAATGAGTCATAAATAAAGCCACTAATTCATTTCCTTATGGTGTTATTATAAATTTGTATGTGTTTTTGTTCATGTGCTAACTAGGCCTTTTGTGTGAACATATATGTTGTAGTTAATTTTTTATCTCACAAAATTTTTGTTTTTCTTTTGTTTTTGGGTACAATGTATATGAAGTTTAAACAAAAGAAAAAGGAAAATTACCTGAGATAATAAATTAACTTCAACTTATATTTTTGAGACATTTCGCAGTATTATGCATCAAATGTTTGTTGCGTAAGATGCTAACAAGGAATATTCATGGTGTATGTGTTCTTATTCACGTGCTAACTAGAACTTTTTGTGTGATTGAAATATTTTGAGCCCTTAAATTGTAGTTTGATGCCACAAATTTTTGTTGTGTAGTGTGCTAATATAGAACAAGGAATATTCATGGTGTATGCATTCTTGTTCACTTGCTAACTAGAACTTTTTGTGTGATTGTAATATTTTGATCCATTTTGTAGTTTCATGCATGATTCAGATGTTTGTCGCTTAGTGTGCTTATCGAACAAGGAATATTCATGGTTTACATGTGTGCGTTCCTGTTCATGTGCTAATTTCACCAGTTGTGCAACTCGTACCACTCGAAAGGCCCCCTTTTGACAACTCTGCTCTCAATTTCAAAGTGCCGCTAATGAGATGCTGTTTTACCAGTTGCACCACTTGTACGAGTCGTACACTTGACAGGACCCCCCTCACGACAACTTTGCTCAATCAATTCTAATTGTCTCTAATGAGATGCTATTTTGCCAGTTGCACCACTCGTACACTGTATGAGTTGAACCACTTGACAGGACCCCCCTCACAACAACTTTGCTCACAAATTCTAAGTGTCACCAATGAGATGCTATTTTACAAGTTACACCACTCGTACCAGTGGAACCACTTGACAGGGCCCCTCCTCGACAACTTTGTTCACAAATTCTGAGTGTCTCTAATGAGATGCTATTTCACCAGTTGTACTTGTACGACTCGTGCAAGTCAAACCACTTGACAGGACTACCTCTCTACACTTGTCTAATGAGATGCAGCCATGCAATGTACTTCACTTTACTTCACTCAAATATATCACATTCACCACTTGAACCAACTGCACAGACTCGTACAACTAGAGTCTTGATTTTACAACTTGAACAAGTGGTGAGTATTGGTCCCTCTTCAACCCTAGTATTCACCCTATCAACTAATTCTCTGAAAATTATAATTATCTTTAGAACATTACTGATTAAATTATATTATGTTTCTAAGGTATGCCACTGGATCAGATGTCACCGAGCATTCTTTACTTATCCATGAATACTATTCACGAGAAACAAGTAACCCTGTTCATGTTGCAGTAGACACAACTTTAAAAGGTTCACGAATGGGAGTCCGAGCTTACCAGAGGTAATTCCATCTCAGAGTCACAGAGCTTAAAGAAAGGCCCTTTGCAGTTGCCTGGTGCAAGAACATGTAGAGGACATGTATCCTGTCATGCAGCTGCTTAATTTGCTTTGTTCATGTAGTTAGTGAAAGTTGACAAGCATGCAAATGCCCTGCAAGCAAATTTTGAAAGCTTTCAACTTTTCTCTAGTCTTGACCTGCTCTTGCTGTTGCCCAGAGTTGAAATGGAAAAAATTAGAAATTCCCAGTATTCATCCTGCTTTTAATTGGTAACTTTCTTTGAATTGCCACATCACAGAATTTATCCACAGACTTTTAAAGTTACAATGTAACCACTCACATTGGAGTATAATAATTAGTTGGTTTTGAGATGGTTGATAAGTGTTAACATACTTATTCTGTACTTAACTTACTTAGCTCTAAAATGGGAGTTCCAGGAAAGACAGAAGGAACTATCTTTTCACCCATCCCTTGTGATGTCATCCTCAGTGGCCCAGAGAGAGTAGGAGGTGAGATCATACAATTCACTGCAGTGGAAGTGTACGGGAAAGGATTAACTAGAAAAATGCTTGTTTGCATTGTTGACTTTTTATCAGCCATTCATTTCAAAAGTGCCAAATCAGTAGAGAATTTTACATTGATACACATTTTACATTGATATGTGTTGAAAGTGCAAATTTTGTTTTGTTATTAAGTAAGCGAGACCATTGTACAAGATGAGATTACCAGGAAGTGACTAATCCTCTTCTTAAGGTGTATGGTGTTGTTTGATCTATCTACATTACTCCAGTACATTAGTTCTTACATTTTGTACAGCTTACAAACTGTGGTGTACTAATTGTATCTCAAAGAACCACACACAAAAAATTTTCTGTCTGTAGTTGGCTGCATAGCAGTAATAATAATTTGCATTTTATTTTAGCCAAACAGGGGAGATGTTCACTCGTTCACTCACACATTTCCTGCACTTCTCCTGCTTGGCTAAAAGCAAATGGAAACAACTGCAGATCATTATATGTTTCTGGGAAACTGCCCACCTACCCCTCCCCTAGGCCAACATTAACACTTACTTCCCCCTTATGCAAAATGTTGGCTTAGGGGAGGGGTAGGTGGGCAGTTTCCCAGAAAGGTATGATGATCCACAAGTGCTATGACCGGGCTGTGTTTGTAACACTCTAACTATTAAGTTCAAGTAGTCTGATTTAACTGTAACATATTTTTCTTGCTTTTGTATCTCAGTAAACTGGCTCCAGAAAACAAAGAACACAGCAAAACAGAGTATAAGTCCTCTGTCAGATATGCAGCATGTGAGCAGGTCAGTATTTTCTCCCTTTATGTACCATGCAAGTTTTTAATGAAAAAAAAGAAAGAAAGAAAGAAAAGAAAAGAAAAGGGTCATCCACTAGATTAGCCTTTGCTCCTTGGATGATCCCAACTTACTCCTTATCTAGATGCTACAGTTTTATTCTTTACTTGTGTAAATGAATGGTCTTTTTTTCAATCTGTGTCACATGTACATACGCGTACATGCAAACCGAGTTGAGTGAAATAAATCTTCTTGTCTTCTTGTCTTGTACAATGTAGTTTCCTAGTTAGTATCTTTGCATGGTACAAAATATAAAAAAGTTGCTTTTGTGTGGATTGCACCCCATGTAATGATAACGTTGGACTGTACATCCAAAGGGAACAGACAAACAATCCGAATCTGAATTTATAAGTGTGTGTGTGTGACATCACACCACTCTAGGCACTCTCGTAATTATATTATAATGACAGGTTCAGTATAACTGGTTCAACTGACCTGGGGAAGTTTTACCATAAATACTACTGTTGATCCCAAATTATGCTACATGATGTCTTCAGTTTTTTCATGGTCTCTTGTAGTTTGTTGTTCAGCCGTTTGACCTCATCTGTTCAAAAATTTTCTTTATCCGTTCAGCCGTTCGGCCGTTCCGTTACGAGCCGTCCGTTTCTCATCCGTTTGCTTGCCGTGCATTCAGTAGTTCGAACGGATATAGAAAGGAACGTTTTTGTGTAAGAGGTCATAATTTATTCCCTGACAGTACAGTCAAATTTCTCCTTACGGACACTCTCCTCAGCCGACAGCTCTACTTATATGTACCGCCCTCTTTTCAAACTCTCCTTTGAACTCCAGCAAACAAAAACTATCCCTGTTAGGGGCTAGCTCCATCTGTGCATTGTGGACACTTTTCTGGCACCCTAAGCTTCAGCTGTTGTTTGAATTGTGTTCCTGTTCTGCTTGTTTAAGGTATTTGTTTTCTGTTACAGTGCAAGTGAAAGACTGTTGGAAATGCTTGATGCCGTCGTTTCATATGTTGACGATGTTCTGGTGGGTTTCCCAAAATCAGTACTATAAATAAATTATTCTGTTGATCACGCAGTTTTTGTCTCTTGTTTGTTTACTATTTTTGTGGTTGTGGTTGTTTTTGTTTGTTTTTGTTTTTTTAAGGGGATAGTGTACTTTGTCAGCGTTGTAACTCGTAGGGTTAAGTGTGGAGACTTCACTTGATTATAGTGAAGTTCTAAATGTAATTTTCAGTCTTGGCTGAAATCCCACATCTGTGCTTAAAAGCACTCAAATGAGAGATACTAAGCAGTACTTCCCCGTGATCATACTGCCTATTATGCTGTGCAAGGTGGATGTTACTTTTGAATTAGAACGAAATCTTAGAGTGCGACCATTCAAATGAAAGCTATTGAGCAGTACTTTCCTGTGGTACTGTTTATTATGCTGTATAAGGTGTTTCCAACATTTGAGTCTGTCGGTGATATCTTAAAGTGTGACCATTCAAGTGAAATCTAATGAGCGAGAAAGCTACTGAATAGTTCTTTTCCGTGGAACTGCTTCCCATCACCGGTAACCCGCCAGTTACGAAAGGTATTAAACATAAAGGTAACAAAAATAATAGTCTGGTAATCTGCCCACCCACCCTATTGTCAACCCAACGTTTTGCCCAAAGTGAGAAGTTGGTGTCAACGTTAGATTATGAGAGGGAGGGGTAGCTGGGCGGATTCCTAAAATCTTAAATTCCTCCGTCACTTTCCTCAGGCAGGAAAAGTCCCGGGAGACAACAGCGTTGGTAGAGAGCTTATGGATCTCGTTACCCAAGTTCCTCGTATGTCTAAGGAAGAGTTTGAATCCATTCTTAACAGCAATATGCAGGTAGGTTTGCAGAGGAATACTTTGTATACTATCCGGTCGTTTCGCCCACCTGCAGGCAAAATCTTCGTTGGGCGAGATATAGACGTTTGAGCCGCTTAAATACTAGTACATTATTTTATTACATTGCCTGTTTGCACTTGACGTCACAGCAGCTGATTAAGGTGGTGATTAAGAACAAAAGTGCTTCTCTCCTCTGGGAATGTACATGTAACTCCATTTTCATATAAAAAGCGTAAAAAAATTGTTTATTGTATTGATCACCAACATGTCACGTGGCTGCAAACCAAGAATAAACACCAGTGAAATACCATTTGAGCTTTTGCACGAAATCACGATATCTTCACACGTGAAAATACCTGTTAAGTGTTATCTTCACACGTGAAAAGATCACTGTTGCTGTGGTTACATAATAAAACAAGCCTTTCACAGCAAAAAAAAATCATTTAAGAAAAATGGTTCGGAATTTCTTAATTTGAAATACTCGAAGGGAAATTTCGTATCTCCGTGCGGCCATATAATATCCTCTATGTAATTGTATGTTTACTGTGGGTGTAAGCCCCGTGATAAGCGCGCGCTCTCGCTCTTTTGGGATAAAAGAAAAGAAACAACCAACAAACAAGGAAACAAGAAAATAAGAAAAGTAGTCCGAACTTAGACGTGGGGCCGCTTAGGTGGGTCACTTATTGTTACTCTGCGTACTATGTACAATTAGTTCTTGATAATGAACTAGCAAAGGGCAGTTTCTGAGATTGCAGTGCGGTACCGAGTGTCCATTGTCAACAGAATGTACTTGTAGCGCACAGTAGCTACCCTCGGGGACGTGGTTTGACATCCACGCTTAGAATTTAAGTTTCTGATATTCAGTATTTTAGAAGTGGACCTTTACTGGGAACTCCTGATTTCAGGTCCCGCTTCTTAATACATCGGCCACGTTACTAAATTTATTCTTTCAAAAACTTTTTTTTTAGGATCTGCTGATGATCGTGTATTTATCTGGCCTGTGCAAGACGCAAATTGCTCTTGGAGAAAAGCTTGCCACTGTGTTATAGTTAAATAAATTTTAGAGCAACCAATAAATTATAGAGAACTTCCTTCTGCCTTTGTCGAATTTCATTATACTCAAAATCGCACTTATCAGGAAAAAATTATGACTGTCGTTAATCTTAGTGAATCTAAGCATCCAATTTGCATAGATTCCATGTTGTGAAAAGTTTGAATCCGGGAGTCGCGTCATTTTTAGGTAAAAAATGGGAGGCAAGGGTGGCGAAGAAGTTAGAGCACTCTCCTCCGACTGAATGTGCATTTCCCGGGTTCAATTCTTGGCGTCGACACCATATTTTATGTGGGTCAGAGTTTGTTGTTGATTCTCTCCCTTGCTCCGTGAGGTTTTACTCCGGGTACTCCGGGTTTTTCCTCTCTCGTCAAAAACCAACATTTTCCAAATTCCAATTCGACCAGGAATAAAGAAGAAGAAGAAGAAGAACCACTTAGTGGCTGTGAAACCTTCAAATCATTATTTTATTGATTGATTTGTTTATTTATTCATTTATAAATATGATCGTCCGGGTGGCTGAAGTCCCGAGTAGGACTATTGTAAACAGTTTCTGACGTTTCCTTACTTTTGGACTTCACCTACTAGTAAGATTGCCTCTCGTCTTGCGTCTCAGATGTTTATCGTCATCTGTAGCTGGACAGAACAAAAATGACAATTCGAGGCCGCAGTCAAGGCCGGAGAAGAAGGCAAACTAGCTAATTAGCATTCCAGACGAATTGTAGCATATCTGCCAGAAAGGTAACTTTTAGGCGGGGAGAATTCGAAACGACACCGAACCGCAAAAAATCTGTCTAGTCTGCGAACACAGCCTGCGGTTTTTCATGCTTTCTCTTCTGTCTCTTTTTCTTTCTTATCAGTTGCCTCTAAAGCTACGGTAAAATGGGCGACAAAAACGTGAAACTTGTTTCGGGACGTTGTAGCAAAACGCGTTGAAAAGCTATGTCGCGCGTTTTACTATCCACCTTTAAACCTGTTTTGCAACAAATCAGTCTACTGCGAGTTGCGAGAATACTGATTGATTGGATAAAATTACGCGGTAGTCACGCCATGCATGGGTGCTGCGTCGGTTGCTGCAAAGCAAGTTTGCCTTGGGGCGGTAAAGTTCGCAACTTGTAAAGATTTTGTTGCAAAAAGTAAAACTACTTTCTACTTTCTGCAACAAATTTTCGCAACCTGTAACATCCTGATCTGTTGCAAGGCAGATTTGAAAGTGGGTTATAAAACGCTTAACATCGTTTTTCAACTCCTTTTGTAGCAATGATGCCCGCTTTTACCGTACCTTCTGTCCGGTGCATCGGCCAATTCGGCAAAATCTTGTCTACATTTTCGGAACCGTTAATTGTGTAGCACAGGGAAAAAGATCATCACATGTCATTAAAATGAGGAAAATCGGTATGAAATACTAGGGTAAGTTATTGATTCAAAGCTCTTTCATAGAGTCCTATCCTATGAGCTAGGATTTAAGTATTGGAAATTAAAAATTGAATTAATTGTAAAAAATTGTTTACTTTCAATTTTACAAATTCAAAGCTCTTTCATAGAGTCCTATCCCTTGAGTTAGGATTTAAGTATAGTTTACTAAGGGCAACTTAGTACTATATTTTACTACAATTCACTTTTAGTTCTATGACTTACTACACTCGAAATTCCACTAACGGTCCCTCTCTACGGCAGTACCGCCGTCAACTTTCCACCATGGCAACGGCCACTAAAATCCTTCCGAAACAGCCATCCACAAAGCGAATAATGTACAACCTTATGCCTACTTGTACCCAAATAGAGGACATCCTCCCTTGCAAAGAGAGGTTGTCCCTTGGCTTGCTCTCTTGCTTTGCATTTTTTCTTGACTATGTCACTGATCTACGTTATTTATTTTGTTGCGTATTAAAATCGTGTCTTCGTATCAATTGAATACCAAAGATAATATTTTACTTCTATTGTTCGGGGAAGACACGCGATCAAAACGGAAGCTCGGAATGGTCACACGGTTTTTTGTTTTGTTTTGTTTTGTTTTGTTTTTTTAATTTGGATTTTAATTATTATTGTTATTATTATTTAACGCTAACAGGGTTGTGATTTCTGTAGTAAAGGTAAGATGAAACAAACAACAAAAACGTGCAACTTGTTTTGCGACATTATTGGAAAGTGAGTTGTTGCGCGTGTTACCACCCAATAATCGAACCTGTCTTGCAACAAATGAGGTTATTTCAAGTCCCGAAAAGTTCTGGCAAAAAGTAGATAGTAGCTCCTTGTTTTGCAACAGTGTGCACATGTTGCGCGTTTTACCGGCCCAACGCAAACTTGCTTTGCAGCAAGTGACGTAACCCCCGTGTATGAGGTGAGTCCCGCCTAATTGTATCCGACCAGAAGTCAGTATTTACGCAACCTGATATGTTGCGAGACAGGTTTGATTCCTGGGTGGTAAAATGTCCAATATCGCTTTTCAACTCGTTTTGTAGCAATGCAAAACAAGTTGCACGTTTTCGTTGCCCGTTTGACCGTAGCAGCTGTTCCCCGCACGCTTTCCCTCTTTCCCCTTCCCAGCCCCTGTGCGGTTCTGCACCCGTGGAAAAGGAGTACAAAGCAAACAGTATTGATATGCTACTGTAGAACGAATACTCGGCGCACTATTTAACTCTGCTTTACAGCTATCAGACGGCACAATGGAGTTTTGCCAGACTGGAATTTTGGCTGTTGAGAGCTGTTGACATCGTCGTTGGATCCACACAATGCTGAATACCTTTGCAGACGCTCCTCTGTTACAAGTGACAGATCAAACACCCTGTGTGTTGTCGACCAAAGCCAGTTCAGAAGGCTTTCGTCGGTTTCGAAAGCAAGTTCTTCGGTGTAAGACTCGTAACTCTTGATAATTTTGAAGCCTGCGGATAAACAATACTGCTCGATCCTGGATTTCGGTTCGATATGATACATCTGGAAGATGCTCTCTACCTTTTCAAGATTGAGTTCTTTGAACGCATTCATCATAAACGGGGGCATATGGTCATTGTAGTGTAAGGCTATCTTCCCACCAACTTTAAGACTTGAAAACATGTCGTTTAAGACTTGTTGTTTTTCGGGCATCCAGTGGAGAGTAAAATTGCAGAAAACAATGTCGTATGCATTTGAACCCATTCTGAGAAAGTTTGTGGAGCTTCCCTCTGCAAATGATAAATTTGTCATATGACCATG